TCATGCGTGGTGTCTGGCATGTGGCAAGTCCTTTCAGGTTAGAAAGTAATATCCTTCAGGCCAGGCGCAGTGGCTCATGCCTGTAATTCCAGCACTTTGGGAGGCCCAGGCAGGCGGATCACTTAAACCCAGGAGTTGGAGATCAGCCAGGGCAACAGGGCAAGACCCCCGTCTCTACCAAAAACAAAACAAGCCGGGTGCGGTGGCTCAAGCCTGTAATCCCAGCACTTTGGGAGGCCGAGGCGGGTGGATCACGAGGTCAAGAGATCGAGACCATCCTGGTCAACACGGTGAAACTCTGTCTCTACTAAAAATACAAAAAATTAGCTGGGCATGGTGGTGCGTGCCTGTAATCCGAGCTACTCAGGAGGCTGAGGCAGGAGAATTGCCTGAACCCAGGAGGCGGAGGTTGCGGTGAGCCGAGATTGCGCCATTGCACTCCAGCCTGGGTAACAAGAGCGAAACTCCGTCCCAAAAAAAAAAAAAAAAAATTAGCTGGGTGTAGTGGCACACACCTGTAGTCCTAGCCACTCAGGAGGCTGAGGCAGGGGAATTGCTTGAGCCCAGGAGCTCAAGGCTGCAATGAGCTATTGAATTTGGCTGTTGTGTCACTGCACTCCAGCCTGGGTGACAGAGTGAGTGAGATCTTGTCTCAAAAATGAAAAAAAAAAGTTAAATAATATTCTTTAATTCTGAAATATTTTCATGACTTATGTCATCGATAATTTATGCTATTCTAGTTTTATTTTTTTCTCTTATTTTTCTATCAGTTATTTTGTTTACTTTTTAGGGAGTTCAACTTTATCTCCCTAATTTTTATAGTTTTTTTTAAAATCATTTCTGCTATCACATTTGTGGTTTTTTCTTTTGTTGGAGACAGAGTCTCACTCTGTCACCCACGCTGGAGTCAGTGGCACAATCATAGTTCACTGCAGCTTTGAACTCCTGGATTCAAGTGAGCCTCCTATCTCAGCCTTCCCTGTAGCAGGGACTGCAGTGTACACCACCCTGCCTAGCTGATCTTTAATTTTTTGTTGTTTTTTTTTTTTTTTTTTTTTTTTTTGAGACGGAGTTTCGCTCTTGTTACCCAGGCTGGAGTGCAATGGCGCGGTCTCAGCTCACCGCAACCTCCGCCTCCTGGGTTCAGGCAATTCTCCTGCCTCAGCCTCCTGTGTAGCTGGGATTACAGGCACGCGCCACCATGCCCAGCTAATGTTTTGTATTTTTAGTAGAGACGGGGTTTCACCATGTTGACCAGGATGGTCTCGATCTCTTGACCTCGTGATCCACCCGCCTCGGCCTCCCAAAGTGCTAGGATTACAGGCGTGAGCCACCGCGCCTGGCCCTTTAATTTTTTTTTGTAAAGACAGGTCTCACTATGTTGCCCAAACTGTCTCCAGCACCTGGCCTAAAGCAGTTCTCTCCCTTCAGCCTTCAGAACTATTGGGATTACAGGCATGAGCTTCTTCCCCTGGCCAAATGCATAGATCTTTATAGTGCTTATAGAAATATGAAACTTTGGGAGGCCGAGGCAGGTGGATAACTTGAGGTCAGGGGTTCAAGACCAGCCTGGCTAATATGGGAAAAACCTGTCTCCATTAAAAACACAACATTTAGGCCGGGTACAGTGGCTCATACCTGTAATCCCAGAACTTTGGGAGGCCGAGGCAGGCGGATCACCTAAGGTCAGGAGTTCGAGACCAGCCTAGCCAACATTGGCGAAACCCTGTCTCCATTAAAAATACAAAAATTAGCCAGGTGTAGTGGCATGCACCTGTAATCCCAGCTACTTGGGAGACTGAGGCAGGAGAATCACTTGAACCCAGGAGAGAGAGGTTGCAGTGAGCCAATATCATGCCATTGCACTCCAGCTTGGGCAACAGAGTGAGACTCTGTCTCGAACAACAACAACAACAATTTGCTGGGTGTGGTGGCGTGTGCCTATAGTCCCAGCTACTCAGGAGGCTTAGGCAGGCGAATCGCCTTAGCCTACACCTGGAGGTGGAGGTTGCAGTGAGACGAGATTGTACCACTGCACTCCAGCCTGGGAAACAGAGCAAGACTCCATCTCAAAAACAAAAAAATTGTGTACATTAAAACTTTTTAATCTCTCAGTATAGTTTCTGTTTCTTTTCAAGTGCTTCGTTTGTCTCTACTACTCATATATCTGGTGATCTTTAGTTTCATTTATATTTATGATGGAATTCTAAAAAGTTGATTAGAAAAACCAATTGTATTCTTATACACTGGATGAGTTAGAGAATAATAAAAGGGCAGGAAGGCCGGGCGAGGTGGCTCAGGCCTGTAATCCCAGCACTTTGGGAGGCCGAGGTGGGTGGATCACGAAGTCAAGAGATCGAGACCATCCTGGTCAACATGGTGAAACCCCGTCTCTACTAAAAATACAAAAAATTAGCTGGGCATGGTGGCGTGTGCCTGTAATCCCAGCTACTCAGGAGGCTGAGGCAGGAGAATTGCCTGAACCCAGGAGGCGGAGGTTGCGGTGAGCCGAGATCGTGCCATTGCACTCCAGCCTGGGTAACATGAGTGAAACTCCGTCTCAAAAAAAAAAAACTATAGTATTTTGAGGTATGATATAGGCACAAAGACAAATAGATTAATAGAATAGAAAGACACAGCACAGTTGTGTGTTTGTTGTTTTCTTTTTTTTTTTTTTTTTTT